TAAAGAAAATATTCTTAAATAAGTGTCAACTTTTGTTATTCAACAAACTACATCAGCAAGAGGTACAATGTCGACTGAAAGCATGTCGTTTAGTTTACAACAACTCGAAATAAAGTATTCGGAAAAACTTCTATCTCATATAATATTACTGAACTTCTTAATAATTTAGAAAAAATTGATCAAAAAGAATTGACACTTAATGAGGTTTTTTACAAAAAATATCAATACTTAGTAAACGAAAACAGAATTATTTAAAACATTTTAATGTTTCAACAGAACAGGACAAAAATTCTGTTCATAGTGGAAAAATGTTAAAGTTCATTAGTAGACGGTTGGAAGAAATAGAGTGGTTGAAACTTAATTTCAAATTTGATTCATAGAGGAAAACCTGAGGAGGAAAATACAAAAACTTCTTCATGTGTACTAATTGAAAGTAGCGAATTTTCAAAAGAAATCATCAGCATTTATCCCAATATGCATAATGTAGATTTTGTTTATGCAATGTTTATTGAAATGAATTAATTTTCTACACGATAATATTAAAAAAGAGACATTAGAAAGAGCAGAATATCAAATAATATGTTTAAAGCAACATCGTATACAAATTCATAGAAAAAAAAATGACTTAAATCGAAATCATTCCAATCCAGAAGATTATGATTTTATAATTGATTTTGGAATTAAAATTATCGAATGGTTATATAAACGTTATAGAAAGAGTGAAGAAAAGCTTTGATGATATAATACAGATAATGCTTATGAAATGGCCATAAAAGTGTTTAACAATATGAAGAACGGATGTTTTTATCTGCTACAGAAAGTGAATATAAAACGCTCTTAAAAGATACACTCAATGCATTTCAATTAACTGAAGAATCGGGTAGAATTTTTCAAGAACTAAATGCAAAAAAGGATGAAAGTATTTGAATGTATTACAAATATGCTTGAGTATATGAAAACAGTTTATACAACTCTATTTGAAAGTAAAGGTACAGGAGTACAACAACAATGTAACCAGAAATATACTGAACCATAGAATCAAGATTATAAACTTTTGATTGAAATTTTAGATGAACTAGAAAATATATTCATAAATACTACAACCATTGTTAATGATCAAAATTATTTCACAAAAATGTTCAAAGCCTATTTAGAAAGAAATTCGGTTCACTTCGTAGAAATAAACAAACACCTATTATTGCCTATGACAAATTAATTCAAACAATTTATTTAAAGATATATCAATTTTAATTTTTAAAATAAGTAATCAAAAAATATTCATAAACGGTTTTAAAAAAACACTTAAAATTGGAAAATGATAAATACTGTCCTACATTCATTTGATCCAATAGTCTAAAAATAGAGAAAATTGGAATTAAAAATGAAATTTTAACTAAAGCATTAGGATGTACTGAACAATGTCCATTTTGTGGTTGTGATCTAGATGAATCGGGCGATATTAGATTTTTTTTTACGCTGGGAAATGAAAATAAAGAAAAGAAATAATAAAGAAAGAAGGCTCGAAAGGATCTGAGAACGAGATTTGACTAGACCTCTATCTTCTAGAGTCAAGTGGAGGATCCTTACACATTTTCCGCTGAAAAATGAATTTGTTCGCATTTCACTCTTTAATTCTGTAAACATATGTCACAACTAAAATACTGTCATTTCTGGTCGTACCTTTAGATAAGATTTGTGATTTATCTAAGACAATTTGGTCGTTAAAATCCTCGTTTTCATCCTCAACAAAAGGCGATAGAGAACAATTTCATAAACATTTGAAACAGATTTATGTTCACAAACGTCAGCTAATTACTCAATTATTTAAAAGATTACAAACAATCGCTTATCACATTAAAAAGGTTTAGTTTCAAAAATAACTTCACAACAATTATTTTCAATTTTACTTGTCGAACTGGCATTAACAGTAGAAGAAAACGAAGACGACGAAGATCATACAATCGTCTAGGGTTTTATCAACAAAAAATCTTTTATTCGAATCTCGTTCAAACGTCTATAAGTCGTATGACGTTATTTATTGAACTATTTCCGACAGAATAGCAGAATAGAAATGGGTGTATCACTGCACAGTCAACAGCATGATGGAATAGAATCTATTGTCATAAAAGTGAACAGCGGTCAATGGCATCATATATTCTTTAGGAGTCACTCGTTCAGCGTAGAATGTAATTTTGATTCTATACAAGCTGTGCGACGAGTATTCACAAGTGCAGGATTAAAAATACAAAGTTAAGAGTCAACATAATTAAGAGTGACTTCTTCTCCTCCATTTTTTCGTCTTATTAGAATAAACTTTCATTTTAGAGTTAAACATGGCATATTATAGAGTGAGATGTCCTCGGTAAAATAAGACCTTTCGTTTCAAAATTGTTTGCTCGTCCATTCGGTACTTGCAAACTTTTCAAATAGTTCGTCTTGGAGAAAACAGAGTTCTGTATAACATGAAATGTCTCTTAGTTTCCCGCAAAATTTTTTCTTCAAAAGTTATAAGCATTTTGTCAAAGGTCCTACAAAGAAGAGACTTTTGTAATACAACGTTTCTGATTTAAATTTTGATTCTGTCTAACCGAGTGACATTGGAAACCCCCTAAAAGTTTATTCAATCGAACTCAAAAATGTATCACAAATGCCTGAGACTATATTTAAAACTTCAATCTTTTTTTCGTTTTTCAACTTTTCCTTCTCGAGTTATATGGAGTTTATATTGTTTCGAGTATGTGTGGTAAACTTTCGAGCTCGATCGGGAAAAATTTGAAGGGATCGAGGTATAACTAGGTTAAAAATTGAGTTTCTAAAAAAATATATTCTAAACTTTGTTAGACTACAGCAAAAATACATCGACTTTCTAATTTGATATTCTATCTGTCAAAGGTTCTTTCAGACATAAATTTGGGCTTAATCGAATCTTGACTAGCATCTTTGTTATCAAGATGAAAAAAAAGAGGATGAGGTTTCTTTGATATAATTGTTTATTAAGCTTGTTCATATATTTGAATATTGTTCGATGACATTTACTTGTTTTAATGAATAAGAATTATACTCTTCCATCATTGAGTTTTTATAAAATCTTTTAAGACTCTTTCCACTAGTGGACGCAATCGATCAATTTTAGTTTGAATAGATGAAAGAAATTATAAATAATATTTATAAAAATTATAACGTTTAACACATACGACTGGCGTAGTTGCTCGTAATATTTTAATAGAGTTTTGTGTCAGAGGTGACGGAACGTTCCCAAACAGGGTAAGGTTTACGGTAAGGCAACAGAACTTTAGAAAATTTTTCGAGAAGATGCAATTTTCTGTAAAAGTTTTCGTAGCAAGAGCAAACAAGGAAATATATTTTTTTTGAGCTCAATTCGCCGAAATATGATATCAGCTCGAGCCTTATGAATTCAAGCTGCGTTTACTTAGGCTCCAAAAAAGGGGCATTGCTAGCAAAAAGGCCAAAAGAGGGAAAATGTTTGCGCTAGACTAAGCAAAGCAAATTTTTGTTTGAAAAACGTGGCATATCTATATAATTAAAGAACTACGCCGCCATTTTGAACAAAAGACTTTACATTTCGACGATTCTTGGCGTTCCTAATACAAAAGTTAGCATTTGATCCCGATCCAGTCCTCTGTCCTCACTGCACATATCTCATGTTAGTCTCTGCATTGAAGATTACTGGAAAGAAACGGAGTTTAATTAGCACAGCGAACTGTTTTTCGTCTTTTCTTCGGATATATAAGGTCTTTCTGCCAATGTAGCTACGTTTTATCCAAATAACATAGTGCCAAACTCAAAATTCTATATCAAAACTGGGTAAGGCTCAGCCTGGCTTCAGTCTGATCCAGCCTAGTGGTTTCGCCACCTTTGTTTTGTGTCATATTCACCAAATGTTGAAGTCTCAAAACATTCGATCAATGTTTGATCAAGTAATTGATCATCTTGATTTTGTGATAGATCTAAATAGAAGAAGAAAAACGATATTCTTTTAAATTTGATTGAAACGTTATATTCTTACCTTAATTAAATAATCCAAATAAATGTAGCCACCACTTCTGAATTGTTTGTCCTTTAAATTTATATTCTAAATTTGTCAATGTTAATTTCCAACAATCTAATTCATATTTTCGAATTAAATTTATTATATTTGATAGAGATTTTATTTTAATATCATAGGTTGTTTTTAATGTTCTTGATGAATATGTTGATTACTAATATGAAAGTTTCGTAAATAATGAATCAAAGCCATAGAAAAATTGAATTATATAGTTTTAAACGTTCAATAATTTATCAAATCAAATTAAAATCAAATTATTGAACGTTTAAAATCTTTTTCATTAACAAACTATTTAATTCAATTTTTCTATGACTTTGATTCATTATTTACGAAACTTTCATATTAATAATCAACATATTCATCAAGAACATTAAAAACAACCTATGATAGTAAAATAAAATCTCTATCAAATATAATAAATTTAATTCGAAAATATGAATTAGATTGTTGGAAATTAACATTGACAAATTTAGAATATAAATTTAAAGGACAAACAATTCAAAAGTGGTGGCTACATTTATTTGGATAATTTAATTGAGGTAAGAATATAACGTTTCAATCAAATTTAAAAGAATATCGCTTTTCTTCGTCTATTTAGATCTATCACAAAATCAAGATGATCAATTACTTGATCAAACATTGATAGAATATTTCACCTATGTAATTCAGTTTGATACAGACTAAGACGAATTACGCGAATACTTATCGACAACGATAAATCGTTAACCATCATCAAGTGAACATTATAGATGCGATGTAATTTTCTTACTTGAAACATGCCTGTCATAATCGGCATCGTTACATCTTTGTATAAATAGTATTGATCACATTTGACCATTGTTTTATAGTATTCAATTATTGTTGTGCGCCATTGTTGGTAGATAATTGAAAATTGTTGTTTTTTTGTGTACACTTTTCAACTCTAGTCGCATTTTTAAATTTTATGTAATTCATCATATGTATTTTCAATACGTTGTTTATTAAATAAATTTCCAATTAGATTTTGAGGAGGATTGATTAGTTTCTTATAGACACTTTTATCAAAACGATATACTTTGTTAATAGTATCAGTTGTATGATAATCATTCGTCGTTACAATCATTAATACTTGCCATGGATGAAGAATAGTCGAATCATTGTCACAATCATTCCAAATCATTGACTATCTTAAACAATCACGTCTAACATCTAATTCTAATTGAATATTTGAACATAGTTGAAGTTGATAGTGATGAAGAAATTGTTCGTATATCGGTATCATCATAAGGCATCAATAAATCAATTTGATGTAGACTAAGATGAATTACGCGAATATTTATTGACAACGATAAATTGTTAACTGGCATCAAGTGAACATTATCACATGAATGAACGGTTGACAGAGACCGACCTAAGTACTAAATAATTCGCGTATTTTCACCCTTACTCAGATACATTTGAGAATATAGATCCGAACGTCCACACTGGCCAGAACAATACTATTTTGTGGCCATCGACGCAACCTCTTGGCCAACGAAAAGGTTAGTATATGAATAGAGACACCAGTAGAGTATTTATCGTTTTACATTAGATATATATAATAAATTCTCCTTCTTAAGCTCTTCCTTCAGTTATAAATACGTCGCAATCATTGAAAAGGTGTCCATAGCAAGCAGATGAATGTAATGAAGAGAATTTTCAAGATATCAAACATAACTCTCAATTGACATTTAAGTTAAGGAGACGAATCTTAAATCTGTACTTTTTTGGCTCAAGTATGCTTTTATTTTCCGTTAAATGAGTGCACAATACCTCGCTGACGTCTAAGAGCCTTTATTCGAGTCACACATGTTTTTAGTTGTATTTGCCGATTAGACTACTCAATTCACAACAAACAGTTCGATGAATTCTGACGTTGCAACATTTTCTATTAAAAGAAAGCAAACGGACGAAGCGTTTGTTCCAACGTGCGACGATCAAGATTTGGAAGTGAATGCAATTAACCCTGTCATAAAGCAGCGAAGCAACAATTTCCCTGACGAAGCAAGTGGAGAAGGTGTGTAATGTTTACTTAAACCTATTTATTCAAACATTTAACAATGATATTTAACATTAATAGACAAACTTTTGGAAGGAGACAATATTTTACAATCTATCTCGACACCGCAAAATGATAATAGGAAGAAAATACCAGTCACTCAGGAGTTTGAACATTCAGATATAATATACCTAATACTCTTCTTTTATATATGCTCAAAAGATCATGGTGAAAAGCTACTGCTATTTAATATAATCGTTAATGATATAAACGAGAAATAATATGAGATATAATTTATTTTAGAAACTGACACAGATGAAGACACTATTTTAGAAAAAAAACTATTCGTAAAAAAGATATTTTAGAAGATTATGATCATGATTATGCAATAAATCTTACAGCCTCGTCACGAATTCGAAACTTCTGAGACCATCTCAGACTTGTTGAGAGATACCAGATAACTTTTCGAAATTGATCCCAGAATACAAAAAATTAAAATTATCATTGGCATATCTACAAACAAATGTACGACAAAAGTGTAAACCATTTTCTCTTCCAGTTTTTTTTCTCTTGGGTGGAAAACATTTAAAGAGATTCAAAGTATGCTATAAGTGGCCTACAATCAAGGCTACAAGATCCATATAATCGAAACTTTGCTGGACAAGAACTAGACTTTTAAGTATTAAAACATTTTTCTATACATCGATATTTCCGCGAACGACATTACCGCGAATTTTTTCTAGTACACATTTGGGTGTTTTTGGCAGTGTGTGGTGAGAGGTGGGGGTGTGGACAGTGGGAGAGGATACGTCGACATTTCTGCGAACCCAGATTACCGCGATAACAAATGCACCACGACTTTTCCACAAATTTTGAAAATAGTTTTAAAGATACTAAACTTGAAAAAACTAACGAAACAACTGATGTCACTGGTGAATCTACTTGTTATTAGAATTTTATTATAGGTTTATCTTCAACTTCAAAACGACATCAAAAAATACATTCTGTGTGAAACTACTTCCGAACTCATTCTCACACTGCCCTTCCATCGCGTACCACGTACTGCCCAAAACACTCAAATGTGGACTACGAAAAATTATCGGTAATGTCTCGCGCAAATGTAGTTCGCGGAAATTTCGTGTCACGAACAGCGCTGTCTCCGGCGTGGCTTCAGGCATAACAACTAACAAGCCCCGCATTCCATTTAGGGAAACACTTGTGGTTGCCACTGTGACGGGGTAGCTTTTCTGCAATTCTCTTGACGAGGAAATGCTACATCTAATGAATTTAATATCAATGTTAATAATCAATTACCAAATCCAGATACTGCTGCAGGTATAATAAATAATATTTGTTAAAGCATGAGCTATAGCCATGCTGGAGGAACCAGTATTACTAATAGCAGAATGAATATCATATTTATAATTAAATTCTATTGACTGATAACTCAACGACTCTTTATTATCCAGTTTCGGCAGTTCATAGTTCTTCTGATATATCATTTTGAATTACACGTAAATATTTCCTGTATTCCAATTGTTGTCTGACTTCAAACGAAATCTTAGGTAGACGAGACTGTGGAACACTTGCTCGATCAGCGTTCGCCATACTGTTGTATCAATCACTGTTTTGGCTTCTTTATCAACGCGTAGACCGAGAGTCAAATGTGTCAAACGGAGACATCTAAGCAGAAACTGATAGCCTGTTCGAGCTTAATGTTTCGAGAGAGATGGATGAGACTGCAGTGTGACGGATAGAGATGTCAGCTATGTAGGTCAGTGGTTAGAGCATAGACACGGAATGTCAAGATCATGAGTTCGACTCCTGATTTGGTCACGCATTTTTCCTTCACTCAGGGAGGATAGAGGTAGGCAAGTAGAAGTCTTCTATCCGATGATTAAGACAATGCTGCATAAATGCCAATATTTGATCGATCGAGACGTACTGAGGAGTGACACGTTCCAGAATGGGTAGACCGAATGGGTGTTGTTCGACGTCCCAAGTATTGGTTTGACAAGGCATTTGCTGCGTTTGTGATGTTTCGAGGTGGTGGACATAAAAATTCCTCAATTGTTTCGCTTTCTCCAATTCACGCATGTTGAACAAAGCATTACCGAATATGAAAACACTGGCTTGTTGATCTCTACCATCAACACTCTTCTTCACATATTCACACATCCCCTTCATATCTTGATCGTCTTCATTACATAGTGTCAGCTTAATACACCACAACGCCTCTCTCTTATCGAACATGACATTCTCAAGTCGAAACACAGAGCCGAGAGTGAAGAGAACTTCTTGCTCATTGTGGAAGAAGCTCATGTCACTGATATCAGCAAATGCACGAGTCTCGAGTCGAGTGTCCGTGATTCTTAGGGAAGTCTTGTAAGCCAATGGTTTTACCTTTCTCTGTGGATCCAGTTAGAATTGATTTACAAAAATGCATGGCCAATAGATTTAGAAATTTATCGATAGACACAGGCCGATTGTTCAAGCTCCGGTTTAATTGTGAGAATGAATTCGAAAAGTGGTTTCACACAAAACATGTTTTCATGATGCGAAACTAGATATATGTGACTGTATCAGATAAAGACTAGTCACCACTTAACTTCAGTTAAGTGTGAAAACATGTTGGGCAAAATACAAAACCTGCCTCATTTATTCGTCTTTCCGATAAACAAGTCTTCGCGATAATGTCGTTTTTTGTATTCGTGGTAATGTCGCTGTATCTTATATTACAGATTATTATAAAGAGAGAGAGGTGGAGCATTTGTACTTCCTCGGTTCTAATCAACATCTTATTCCTTCATTATCATGCCGAATGATGATACATTACTGATTGACGAAAAGTCTATTTTCGATCAAATTATCATTAACTATCGATCATCAGTGAACAAAAGACAAACAAAATGGAAAAGGTTATTGAAAGAGGATTACAATAACATTATTAAGAAATTGAGAGAAGTATTTGGCAATATACGGCAGAGCGATATTGATCATGTCAAAACAAGTCCAACTATTGAACAACATCAATGGTTCCAAATATGAAGTCATCTCCACAAGTTAATCGGCTGATTACGTCAATTAAAGAGCAGATCCCATCTAAAATCGATATAACTAATCGCTTACTTCATCAACATCAACACCTAGTCTCGCAACAACAGCAGTTTATTGATCTTGTTTCGCAAGATCTGCCAACAAGCGATCTGGTCTCATCACCACCTTCTATTCTTTACCTATACCTAGTTTGAATAATTCTACTGATTTTTATTATCAACACCGCGTAAGCGATGTCTTTCAGCATCTGCTCAGCCGTTCGTATCAGTGAATAATGCGAGTAACATTGCTTCACCCCTACCGTTATCGCCTATAACACATGCGATTACAGTTTCGATAAATGCCGTCGATCAGGCACTGCCATTTTCAAAATTTATTTAAGAGATTTATTTCACAAATCTCAACCAATCTGTAGCGGATCATCTGAGCTTTTCCATCAATAACGCGATCATAAAACGGGAAAAATCAGTAGTACTGTTGGAAGTAAAACTAACGTCTAATCTGTCATGGGGTCAGCACGTTAGAGATGTAATCCTCGGATGTAGAAGACGCTTAGGTTCAATGTTTAGAACATTCCGGGAGTCTCCGGTAGAGACCAGGTGGTCTTCGATTATGAGAGCGGGTTTACAATAGACTAAATTAACATTAATTAGTACTAATTATCAATAACAGTCAATAACACGGAGGAAAGAACAAAAATGTTTACATATTTTCTCCTAGTAATATTCTCCATACATTTCTCTATCGATTTAGGCAAGAACCAAGTTTTTATGATGAATGGAGAACGGATAGGAAATTTTTAATACTACCGCGTGCTCAAAAATTTAACAGCATTTTTTTCTTAGCTAAATAATGTAAGCAAGCTGAGATCTACAAACTGGGAACGTTTGAAGAAAATCTAAACGGCGGACGGCCTCGCTTAAACCCAAATGTTTACCCCATGTTCAGTGCAATAGATGGATTGAAATAAAACGGTTACAAGGTACCCTTTAATGCCACACATTGCACTAGACATTTGTCTCTTCTTGTCATCAGATCGCCAAGGTCCCAATGGCGCTAGTTTATCCGCATGTGTCAAATTAAGACATGTAACGTGGTTTAAACTCTTTTATATCACTAGAATTTGTTAAAAAACATCACATCGGCTCTTAAGTTCATCTGCACTATCTTTTCTAAAATGCATTTACTTATGCACTTTAGGATCTTGTAATTGGTCGTTAAACAGCCTACTGTGACTTGTATGATTGCTTGGTCAGAAACAAAGTTAAAGTAAACAAATAAATCGAATGCACTTAATCTAGTAAATAATTTGATTTAGAATCTAAAATGGTATGTGGACTGCGGTCGAAGTGCATCCACTATCGAAGCTTAAATAAAATAGAAACACGCCTCAATGAACTTAATTACAAAGACTAGTAAAACCGTTTTAGCCGTTTTACGTCATTTTCAACTGAAGAACGTGAGTACACGAACTATGGAGTTGTTCTAAAGAATTTGAGTGACAGAATGATGCCATATCGGACACTGGAAGATAGTGGTTAGTATGAAACTTTCCTATAATGATTTTTTTTTGTGTTTTCTTTTAAATACCTAATATCTGGTTTGTGTTTAAAACTCCATTGTTTTATGAGTAGCTTAATAGAAGCTAAAGCGTTACATAGTATAAGAAAGTAGGCGAAGTTTACCGATGGTGGAAATTTGTCGTTAGACATATTTTACTAAAAGGAAGTTCATATAATTGACCACAGTAAGAAGTCCTCTGTTATATTGTAGATGTTTTTCTTTACAAATCTATTTAACTGTTTAGGCATTTAAGTTCACTTATTGATTATTAAATTAAGGAGTAAACGAAAAAATAATCAATGTTAGTGTATGTTTATTTTGCTTCTCACACTACTGTTTTTCATTATGTTATTGCTTGTTTAAAGTTCGTCATACTTAAGTACTACCACTATCGAGCTAATAAAAACTATTTTTATTATTTATTCAAAAATTTACGTTGTCAATATTGTTGTTAATGATTCGCTAAATTATAACATTGTCTATCGATTTGCATGTGATTTCTATTGATTCCGTTCATATGTACTGAAATTCAAATAGAGAAGAATCACTACAATACGTTGCATAGTAGGCTTGATGAACGCTATTTCAATCTCACGTTGTAATGAACTCTTTTAGAGGTAGCATAGGCGGCGCAAGTTAAAGTTCCTAGGGGTAGCAATAAACTTTTAACTCATAATTTTAATAAATAATAATAGTAAATTAAATTTAAATTTAATTAATTTAAAGCATTTCATGAAGAAGAAAGACAAAACATCTCGTATTTTTTCGTTAAAATGACAACAATAAACAAATTCTTTTCGATTTATTGCCAAGTTCAAAACATTTTCTGCTACAGAACGCGAAATGAACATCAATATGCTTCCATAAATCATTCTTTCTTTATATTTTATTTAAAACTGCTAAAAAATCGAAAAAACACATTTGCAATAACGAGAACAAAACAGGTTGTATTATGTTGTTTCTGTGGACTTTCCAAACACAAAAACCTTCATTGGCCAACAAACTCTACAACGAACAAAGCTTAATGTGTTAATTTTTTAATCAAGTCAACGACTCACAGAATTACAAATTAATGCATCATGTACTTGCTTCAGTAATGTTGCTAGGCGAAACTCTCTATATTTCAAAAAAAATAATAAAGTGCATTAGTGTGTTACTCGTCTAGAAAAGGTGAAGGGCTTGATTATCAGCTACGATGTTATCAAAAAAAGTAATGTAATGCTATTTCAAGATAACTAATGGGCGGTACGTCCCTGTATATTTACCTTCATAATCTCTCGTGCACGCCAATAAAATCATTTTCTGTGCGTGTTTTTGTTCTTATAAATTAGTTATAAATTAGTACGTGAGGCTGATGATTCTGAAATATTTCATTTATATGTTGAAATCACAAAAGGACGAAATCGTGGTAAGTTTGTGTGACACTGTTCTACAGATGTCCGTAACGAGCTTCTCTTCTCCTTCGCAATATAGGTCATTTCAAAATGCTGACAAATTCGATGGAATGTGAATTTTTATTAACGGTGGCTTTGGAGAAGATGCGTGATTCTGGTATTATCACTATTGTAAAAGATTTAAAAGATGCAGCTGATACAGCCAATTTGTTTATTGCCAGAGAACATTGTGAATTTATTAATCGTTGTGTAATTGCAAATGTTGCCATCTCAACGACAACAACAACGGAATTGTACGATGTAACGAAATTGGGCCACGGTAAAAAACAAAAAACAAAACAGAAAAAACAACAAGCAGCGGCAGCAGATCGTAAACCAGCAACGACAAAAACAAAGAAAACTGTTGTTTCTACGTCAAAATGTTTAGCAACGTCGGCTGCTGATGAAGAAGACGACGCTGAAGCAGTCGCAAAACCAGTGGCTAATACTACACGATTAGTACCAAAATTACGTCTATGTCCAATAACAGTCGATGTTGGTACAAAACAATTGGGTGGTAATTTTCAGAAATCTGCGACCAGCAGTTCATCGGATAAAAAGAAACGAAAACAAGATGATGA